GAATATTTTTGTGGTGTTCTCTGTATTTCCTGGACATGAATGTTGGTCTGCCTTACAAGGAGTTGTGATCTCTTGGAGGAGGAGAGGCGTTCTGGTTTTGGGTCCTTTCATCCTTTTTGCACTGTTTTCTTCCCATCTTTGTGGATTTATCTACCTGTGGTTTTTGTAGGTGGTGACTTTTGGATGGGGTCTCTGAGTGGATGTCCTTTTTGTTGATGTTGAGGTTATTTCATTCTGTTTTTTAGTTTTTCTTCTAACAGTCAGGCCCCTCTGCTGTAGGACTGCTTGAGGTCCACTCCAGACCCTGCTTGCCTGGGGATCACCTGCAGCAGCTACAGAACAGTAAGGGTTACTGTCAGTTTCTTCTTATCTTTGTCCCAGAAGAATATCTGCCAGATGTCAGCCTGAGCTTTCCTTTATAAGGTGTCTTTGGACATACGGGGGTCGGGCAACTGCTTGAGAAGACAGTCTGTCCCTTGTAGGAGCTCAAGTGCTGTGCTGGGAGCTCCATTGTTCCATTCAGATCAGCTGGGCAGGTACATTTAAGTCTGTCGCAGCGGAATTCATAACCACCTTTTCCCCAGGTGCCCTGTCCTGGGAAGGTGGGGCTTTATTTATAAGTTCCTGACATGCTGCTGCCTTTTTTCAGAGATTCTCTGCCCAGCAAGAAGGTAGCCTAGTCACAGTCTGCCTGCAGAGGTGTTACTGAGCTGCCATGGGCTCTGCCCAGCTGCTGTGTGAACTTCCTTGTGGTTTTGTTTTCAGAGGTATAGTAATGATGGTCTGCCTCAGTAATGGTGGACTGCCTTGGTAATGGCAGACTGCCTTGGTAATGGTGGACTGACTTATTAATGGCAGACTGCCTTGGTAGTTGTGGACTGGCTCAGTAATGGTGAATACCCTTCCTTCCATGGAGCTGGACCATCTCAGGTCCAGCTGCACTTGCTGCGAAACTCTCAATCCAGAACGTTTCGGATTACTGGTCTTTGTGGAGGTAGGACCAGCTGAACCAGATCACTTGGCTCCCTGTTTCAGCCCCCCTTTTTCAGTTGAATGGGCAGCTCTGTCTCCCAGGCGTTCCAGGCACCAGTTGAAACAGCCACACAGATTTGTATGAGTTTTTGTGCGAAGACCCACTGCGCCAGCTGAAACAGCCATGCTGGAAACTTGTGGCACTTTTCAGCCCAGGAATCTCCTGGTCTGTGGGCAGTAAAAACTCATTTGGAAATGTGGTGATCACTCACCCTCTGTGTTGTTGTCACTGGGAACTGCACTCTACAGCTGTTCCTATTTCGCCATCTTGGATCTATTGAGAAACCCCTTTTTCATTGGTTTCAGCAGAAGGATGAGTGATGTGTTCAAGGTTGCAGGATTGGCAGGCGATTCCTGTGATGTCTTCACATGGTTGTTTCTGGCAGAAATTGCCTGTAATCCCAGCTGCTTGGGAGGCTGAGGTAGGAGACTCACTTGAACCTGAGAGGCAGAGGTATCAGTGAACTGAGATTGTGTCACTGCACTCCAGCCTGGATGACACAGCGAGACCCTGTGTAAAACACATACGTGCATGGACACACACACACACACACACACACACACACACACACACACACACAGGGTCTGCTGAAATCTCACGTAAGCTGCACAGACATGCATCTGTTACAGTGAATTTGCTTTTCCAAGTTCTTGTTTTAAGAGGCAAGGTGGTCGTGGGTACTCAAGAAAATAATTTTCAACCCAGAATTTCATATCCAGCCAAATTAAGCTTCAAAAGTGGAGGAGAAATAAAATCCTTTACAGACAAGCAATTGCTGAGAGATTTTATCATGACCAGGCCTGCCTTGCAAGACCTCCTGAAGGAAGCATTAAACATGGAAATAAACAACCAGTACCAGCTGCTGCAAAAACATACCAAATGGTAACAACCATCAGTAAAATGAAGAAACTGCATCAATTAACAGGACAAACAAACATCTAGTATCAAAATGGCCAGATCAAATTCACACATAACAATATTAACCTTAAGTGTAAGTGAGCTAAATGCCCCAATCAAAGGACACAGACTGGCAAACTGGATAAAAAGCCAAAACCCATCGGTGTACTGTATCCAGGAGACCCATCTCATGTGCAAAGACACACATAAACTCAAAATAAAGGGAGGGAGAATGATTTGCCAAGCAAATGGAGAGGAAGAACAAGCAGGAGTTGCAATCCTAGTCTCTGATAAAGTAGACTTTAAACTAACAAAGATCAAAAGAGACAAAGAAGGACATTACATAGTGGTAAAAGGATCAATGCAACAAGAAGAGCTAACTATCCTAAATATATATGTACCCAATACAGGAGCATCCAGATACATAAAGCAAGTTCTTAATGACCTACAAAGAGACTTAGACTCCCGCACAATAATAGTGGGAGACTTTAACACGCCACTGTCAATATTAGATCAACAAGAAAGAAAATTAACAAGGATATCCAGGACTTGAACTCAGATCTGGACCAAGCAAACCTAATAGACATCTACAGAACTCTCCACCCCAAATCCACAGACTATACATTCTTCTCTGCACCCCATGACACTTACTCTAATACTGACCACATAATTGGAAGTAAATAACTCCTCAGCAAGTGCAAAAGACCAGAAATCATAACAACCAATCTCTGAGACCACAGTGCAAACAAATTAGAACTCAGGATTAAGAAACTCAGTCAAAATGACACAACTACATAGAAACTGAGCAACCTGCTCCTGAATGACTACTAGATAAATAATGAAATGAAGGCAGAAATAAATATGTTCTTTGAAACCAATGAGAATGAATACAAAATGTACCAGAATCTCTGGGACACATTTAAAGCAGTATCTAGAGGGAAAATTATAGCACTAAATGCCCATATGAGAAGTGAGGAAAAATTTAAAATCAACACCCTATCATCAAAATTAAAAGAGCTAGAAGAGCAAAACAAATTCAAAAGGTAGCAGAAGACAAGAAATAACTAAGATCAGAGCAGAACTGAAGGAGATAGAAACATAAAAAACCTTTCAAAAAGTCAATAAATCCAGGAGCTTGTTATTTGAAAAGATCAACAAAATAGATAGACTGGTAGCAGACTAGTAAAAAAGAAAAGAGAGAAGAATCTAATAGATGCAATAAAAAACGATATAGGAGATATCACCGTGGATTCCACAGAAATACAAACTACTATCAGAGATTACTAAAAACAACTCTATGCACATAAATCCGCAAATCTAGAAGAAATGGATAAATTCCTGGACACTTACACCCTCCCAAGACGAAGCCAGGAAGAAGTTGAATCCCTGAATAGACAAATAACAAGGTCTGAAGTAGAGGCAGCAATTAATAGCCTACCAACCAAAAAACGTCCAGGTCCAGATGGGTTCACAGCTGAATTCTACCAGATGTACAAAGAGGAACTGGTACCATTCCTTCTGAAATTATTCCAAACAATACAAAAAAATGAAATGCTCACTAACTCATTTTATGAGATGAACATCATCCTGATACCAAAACCTGGCAGAGATACAACTAAAAAAGAAAATTTCAGGCCAGTACTACAATGAATATCGAATGTGGTAATTCTTCAAGGGTCTAGAAATGGAAATTCCATTTGACCCAGCAATTCCATTACTGGGTATATACCCAAAGGATTATAAATCAATCTATTATAAAGATACTTGCCCATGTATGTTCATTGCAGCATTGTTCACAATAGAAAAGACTTGGAAACAACCCAAATGCCCATCAAAGATAGACTGGATTAAAAAAATGTGGCACATATACACCATAGAATACCCTATGCATTCATAAAAAAGGATGAGTTCATGTCCTTTGCAGGGACATGAATGAATCTGGAAACCATCACAAGAACAGAAAACCAAACACCACATGTTCTCACTCATAAGTGGGTGTTGAAAAATGATGCACGGACACAGAAAGGGGAACACCACACACTGTGGTCTGTTGGGGGGATGGGGAGCTGGGGGGGGGATAGGGGGGGGGGTTGATTGGGGAGGGATAACATTAGGAAAAATGCCTAAAGTAGGTGACAGCGGGATGGATGCAGCAAACCACCATAGCGTGAGTATACCTATGTAACAGTCCTGCAAGATCTGCACTTGTAACCCAGAACTTAAAGTTAAAAAAAAAAAAAAGCTAAAAGTAAAGTCATATAAACTTGGTAACCATAAAATATAAAAGAAAGATAGAATGGCACTTAAGAATGCTAACCTCACAGAGCACCTGTGGGAAGGGTCAGCTCTGGGTGCAGCTTCAGCAGACTTAAATGTTCCTGCCTGCCAACTCTGAAGAGAACAGCAGATCTCCCAGCACAGCACTTGAGCTCTGCTAAGGGACAGACTGCCTCCTCAAGTGGGTCCCTGACCCCTGTGCCTCCTGATGGGGAGACACCTCCCAGCAGGGGTTTACAGACATCTCATACAGGAGAGCTCTGGCTGACATCTAGTGGATGCCTCTCTGGGACAAAGTTTCCAGAGGAAAAAGCAGGCAGCAATCTTTGCTCTTTTGAAGCCTCTGTTGGTGTTACCCAGGCTAACGGTCTGGAATGGACCCACAGCAAAATCCAGCAGGCCTGCAGACTAGGGGCCTGTTAGAAGGAAATCTAAGAAACATAAAGCAGTAGCATCAACATCAACAAAAAGGATGGTCATACAAAAATTCCATCTGAATCTCACCAACAGCAATGATCAAGGTAGATAAATCCACAAAGGTGAGGAAAGACCAGCTCAAAAAGGCTGAAAATTCCAAAAATCAGAATTCCCCTTCTCTTCCAAAGGATCAAAACTCCTCACCAGCAAGGCAACAAAATTGGATGGAGAATGAGTTTGATGAATTGACAGAAGTAGGCTTCAGAAGGTGGGTAATAACAAATTTCTTTGAGCTAAACAGGCATGCTCTAACCCAATGCAAGGAAGCTCAGAACATTGAAAAAAGATTAGAGGAATTACTAATTAGAATAACCAGTTTAAAGAAGAACATAAATGACCTGATGGAGCTGAAAAACACAGCACAAGAACTTTGTGAAGCATACACAAGTATTAATAGTCAAATCAATCAAGCAGAAGAAAGGATATCAGAGATTGAAGATCAACTCAATGAAATAAAGTGTTAAAGACAAGAATAGAGAAAAAAAAAAAAAGAAATGAGCAAAGCCTCCAAGAAATATGGGACTATGTGGAAAGACAAAACCTAAGTTTGATTGGTGTACCAAAAAGTAACTGGGAGAATGGAACCAAGTGGGAAAACACACTTCAGGATATTGTCCAGGAGAACTTCCCCAACCTAGCAAGGCAGTCCAACAATCAAATTCAGGAAATACAGAGAACATCACAAAAATACTCCTTGAGAAGAATAACCCCAAGACACATAATTCAGATTCACCAACATTGAAATGAAAGAAAAAATGTTAAGGGCATCCAGAGAGAAAGGTCGGATTACCCACAAAGGGAAGCCCATCAGAATCACAGTGGATATCTCTGCAAAAACCCTGCAAACCAGAAGAGAGTGGGGCCAATATTCAATGTTCTTAAAGAAAAGACTTTTCAACACAGAATTTCACATCCAGTCAAACTAAGCTTCTTAAGTAAAGGAGAAATGAAATCCTTTTAAGACAAGCAAATGCTGAGGGATTTTGCCACCACTAGGCCTGCCTTACAAGAGCTCCTGAAGGAAACACCAAATATGGAAAGGAAAAACCAGCAGTCCAGAAAAAACAAACAAAACAAAAAACCCAAAATGTAAAGGCTGTCAACTAATGGGCAAAATAACCAGCTAACATCATAATGACAGGATCAAATTCACACATAACAATTTTAACTTAAATGTAAATGGGCTAAATGCCCCAGTTAAAAGGCACAAACTGGCAAATTGGATAAAGAGTCAAGACACATCAATGTGCTATATTCAGGAGACCCATCTCACATGTAGAAACACACATAGGCTCAAAATAAAAGAATGGAGGAATATTTACCAAGGAAATGGAAAGCAAAAAAACAAAACAAAACAACAACAAAAAACAGGGTTTGCAATCCCGGTCTCTGACAAAACAGACTTTAAACCAACAAAGATTAAAAAAGACAAAGAAGGGCATTACATAATTTAAAGGGATCAAGGCAATAAAAAGAGCTATTTCAAATATATATGCACCCAATACAGGAGCACCTAGATTCATCAAGCAAGTTCCTAGAGATCTACAAAGAGACTTAAACTCCCATACAATAATAGTGGGAGACTCTAACATCTCACCATCAATATTAGACACTGTTAATATTAGAGAGGTCAATGAGACAGAAAATTGACAAGGACTTGAACTCAGCTCTGGACCAAGCAAACCTAATAGATATCTACAGCCCTCTCCACCCCAAATCCACAGAATATACATTCTTTTCAATACCACATAACACTTATTCTAAAATTGACCATATAATTGGAAGTAAAACATTCCTCAGCAAATGCCAAAGAATAGAAATAACAATCTCTCAGACCACAGGGCAATCAAATTAGAACTCAGGATTAAGAAACTCATTCAAAATTGCACAACTGCATGGAAATTAAACAACCTGCTCCTCAATGACTACTGGGTAAATAATGGAATTAAGGCAGAAATAACAAAGTTCTTTGAAACCAGTAAGAACAAAGACACAATGTATCAGAATCTCTGGGACACAGCTAAAGCAGTGTTTAGAGGAAAATTTATAGCACTAAATGCCCACATGAGAAAGCAAGAAAGATCGAAAATTGACACCCTAACATCACAATGAAAAGAACTAGAGAAGCAAGAGCAAACAAATTCAAAAGCTAGCGGAAGACAAGAAATAATTAAGATCAGAGCAGAACTGAAGGAGATAGAGACATGAAAGCCCCTTCAAAAAATCAATGAATCTAGGAGCGGGGTTTTTGAAAAGATTAACAGAATAGATAGACCACTAGCCAGTTTAATAAGAAAAGAGAGAAAAATCAAATAGACACAAATGATAAAGGGGAAATCACCACTAATCGCACAGAAATACAAACTACCATCAGAGAATATTATAAATATCTTTACACAAATAAACTAGAAAATCTAGAAGATATGGCCAAATTCCTGGACATATATATCCTCCAAAGACTAAACCAAGTCAAATCCCTGAATAGATCAATAACAAGTTCTGAAATTGATACGGTAATTAATAGCCTACCAGCCAAAAAAAAGCCCAGGACCAGACAGATTCACAGCCGAAGACTACCAGAGGTACAAAGAAGAACTGCTATCATTCCTTTTGAAAGAAAAAGAGGGACTCCTCCCTAACTCATTTTATGAGGCCATCTTCATCCTCCTACCCAAACCTGGCAGAGACACAACAAAAAAAGAAAACTTCAGGCCAGTATCTCTGATGAACATTGATGCAAAAATCCTCAATAAAACAGAATCCAGCAGCACATCAACAAGCTTATACGCCATGAAAAAGTCAGCTTCATTGCTGGGATGCAAGGCTGGTTCAACAAACGTAAATCAATAAATGTAATCCATAATATCAAATCAATAATTGTAATCCATAAACAGAACCAATGACAAAAACCATATGATTATCTCAATAGATGCAAAAAAGGCCTTCAATAAAATTTAACACCCCTTCATGCTAAAAACTGTCAATAAACTAGGTATTGGTGGAACATATCACAAATAATAAGATGTATTTATGACAAACTCACAGCCAGTGTCATACTGAATGGGCAAAAGCTGGAAGCATTCCCTTTGAAAACTAGCACAAGACAAGGATGCCGTCTCTTACCACTCCTATTTAACATACTATTGGAAGTTTTGGCCAGGGCAATCAGTCAAGAGAATGAAATAAAGGGTATTTAAAAAGGAACGAGTTAGTCAAATTATCTCTGTTTGCAGATGACATGATTGTATATTTAAAAGAGCCCATCGTCTCAACCTAAAAACTCCTTAAGCTGATAAGCAACTGCAGCAAAGACTCAGGATACAAAATCAATGTGCAAAAATCACAAGCATTCCCATGCACTAATAATAGACAAAGAACCAAATCATGAGCAAACTCCTTTTCACAATTGCTGCGAAGAGAATAAAATAAGAATACAACTAACGAGGGATGTGAAGAACCTCTTCAAGGAGAACTACAAGCCACTGCTCAAGAAAATAAGACAGAACACAAACAAATGGAAAAACATTCCATTCTCTTGGATAGGAAAAATCAGTATCATGAAAATGGCCATACTACCCAAGTAATTTATGGATTCAATGCTATTCTCATCAAGCTACCACTGACTTTCTTCACAGAATTTAAAAAAAACTAAATTTCATATGGAATCAAAAAAGAGCCTGTATAGCTAAGACAATCCTAATTAAAAACAAAACAAAACAAAAAACAAAAAAAAAAAGCAAACAAAAAAACAAAGCTGGAAGCCATGCTACCTAACTTCAAACTATACCACAAGGCTAGAGTAATCAAAATAGCATGGTACTGGTACCAAAACAGAGATATAGGCCAATGGAACAGAACAGAGGCCTCAGAAATAACACACACATCTACAACCATCTGATTTTTGACAAACCTGACAAAAACAAGCAATGGGGCAAAGATTCCCTATTTAATAAATGGTGTTGGGAAAACTGGTTAGCCATGCAGAGAAAACTGAAAATGGACCCCTTCTTTACACCTTATAAAAAATTAACTCAAGGTTGATTAAGGATTTAAATGTAAGACCTAAAACCATAAAAACCCTAGAAGAAAACCTAGGCAATACCATACAGGACATAGGCATAGGCAAAGACTTCATGACTAAAACACCAAAAGCAATTGCAATAAAAGCCAAAATTGACAAATGACATCAAATTAAACTAAAGAGCTTCTGCACAGCAAAAGAAACTATCATCAAAGTGAACAGGCAACCTACAGAATGGGGGAAAAATTTTGCAATCTATCCATCTGACAAAGGACTAATATCCAGAATCTACATGGAACTTAAAAAATTTTACAAATAAAAGAAAAGCCAAACAACTCCATCAAAAAGTGGGCAAAGGGTATGAACAGACACTTCTCAAAGGAAGATATTTGTGTGGCCAAGGAACAGATGACAAAAAGCTCATCATTACTGGTCATTAGAGAAACGCAAATCAAAACCACATTGAGATACCTTTTCATGCCAGTTAAAATGGCAATCATTAAAAAGTCAGGAAACAGATGCTGGAGAGGATGTAGAGAAATAGGAATGATTTTACACTGTTGGTGGGAGTGTAAATTAGTTCAGCCATTGTGCAAGACAGTGTGGTGATTCCTCAACAATCTAGAACCAGAAATACCATTTAACCCAGCAATCCCATTACCGGGTATCTACCCAAAAGATTACAAATCATTCTAGTATAAAGACACACGCACATGTATGTTTATTGCAGTACTATTCACAATAGCGAAGACTTGGGACCAAAAAATGCCCATCAATGTTAGGCTCGATAAAGAAAATGTGGCACATATACACCATGGAATACTATGCAGTCATAAAAAAGAATGAGTTCATGTCTTTTGTAGGGACCTGGATGAATCTTGAAACCATCATTCTCAGCAACAGAACTAACACAGGGATACAAAACCGAACACTGAATGTTCTCACTCATAAGTGGGAGATGAACAATGAGAACATATGGCCACAGGGAGGGGAACATCACACACTGGGGCCTGTTGGTGGGTGGGGGAACATGGGAAGGGATAGCATTAGGAGAAACACCTAATGTAGATAACAGATTGATGGGTGCAACAAACCACCATGGCATATGTATACCTATGTAGCAAACCTGTGCATTCTGCACATGTATCCCAGAACTTAAAGTATAATAAAAACATATATAAAAAATAGTTTTTTTTCTTTCCAATAAAAAAGAAAAAAAAGAATGCTAGCCCTCAATATGCACTGTATATGTGTGGTATTTATTTACATGTATTGACTTCTGGTGTTATTTATTTACTTAAGTTGACTTTCTGTGTAGCTTAATAATT